AGAGGTGATGAACAGCAGGCGGAGAAGCTTTCCTTCCTTACTTCTTTCCTTTTTCTGTGTTTTTTTTTTGGTCCTTTTTCTGTGTTTTTTTTGGTCCTTTTTCGCCTTTGCCCTCCGATACACGGTGTGACGATATGTATCGTCAAACAGAGCTGCCTACGGTAAACCGTACTAGGCAGAGAGGGAGGGAGATGGAGAAGAGGACAAGAAACGAGGGAGGGGCTGTTACAAACTGTTTCGTCGGTGTTTCACCGACTGACTCATCAGGACGCTGAACAATACATGTACACATCCAAACAGCGCAGTTTCCTCTGAAGTTTCCTCTGAAGTTTCCTCTGAAGTTTCCCCTTTGTAGTTTCCTCTGCTGCACCTTCCTCTGCTGCAGTGCCAGTACCGAGAGCGACACAATCTCCTCCTCGGTTGCTAGTTGCTGAGCTGGGCTGCACGTGGCTGTGTGTTCCTCCTCACCACCTCCCTCTCCTTCATTGTCTTTCTGTGCCTTTGCCCTTGACATCGATTTATACTCTCAGGTCATCTATTTCGGACCCTTGGCCCAATGGGTCCCCCACCTCTCCTCTCTCCTCTCTTTCTCTGCTTGGCTGCACGCGTCTGTGTGTTCCTCCTCCTCACCACCACCTCCCTCTCCTCCACGGTCTCGCTTGTCTGCAGTCTCTCTTGTACCCACTGTTCCTTCCACCTTTCTTTGTGGCACCCGCACCGTGCGCACCTCCAGCTTGCCACACCATGCACGAGGTAGCCCCATCCATAGTCGAACGCATTGCTAAACCCTAAACCCAATTGGGACGGTGTAAGATGTACACGTAACGTGTGACGTAATTGTGTGTGTGTGTGTGGGGGGGGGGGTTTAGTAATGGGATGGGTGTGACGTCCCAAGTGGGAGGGTTTAAAACTGGGTTCGACGTCCCAATTAGGAAGGTTAAGTAATGGGTTGGCACTATGGATGATGGGTTACCTCGTAGTCTGTATATCATCAAAAAAAAAAAAAAGAAAAAAAAAAAGAAGAAGAAAAGTCTGTATATCATCGACGGCGTGTACTGCATCGTCGTTCGTGTGGGGATACAACAACCACCTTTTCGTTTTTGAAGGAGGTAGGTAGGTAGGTAGGTAGCCCCTAACCTTATTGCATCCTTGTGATTCACACTCAGGATTTGAACACATGATCTGTTCATGGACTCTGTCAGTTGCATGTATGTACCATTCAGTCAAACGTGGACTGGGTACAGGGGCAGGGGGGATCAACAAGCTCTCTCTTTTTTTTTGTCTAGTGCGATTCTCTCTGTGCCTGTGTTGCATAGGCTGTTGCTGTCCCTTTGTTCCAAACGACCATATATGTGGTCCTAGGTCCCCAGCAGAGAGTGTTTAACATCCTTTTTTTTTCTCTTTTTTTCTTGAGAGTGTGCCGGCAACCAGGACACTCTGTTTTATGCTCTACGGCGTTGGACATCGGTGAGTCCCCTGGATTGCAGGGTATGGTGGTCCCCACTCAGGGTGCATTCGCCACTCAAAGGGCAGTCCCCACTCAGGACGCAGCGCCAGACGTCCCGGTATTAGACCATGATGATTTGGCTGAGTTGCAATTTTTTTTTTTTTTTTGCCACACGAAGATTACACCATATAGATGATGTGCAAATAGTCGGCCAGGATGATCTGGTTGAATTGCAAATTGCTATAAAAAAAATCATAAAAAAAATAAAAAGAAAGGCATAGACCACGTGTTTGTGATCTGCAAATGACCGTCCAGCAAACAGCCCAGGACAGTTTGGCCTTGCAACGCCATCTGAGTGATGTGCAATTCGTTGACGGGTCGAGTGTCTGACACACACACAAACTAGCCTGAGATCGCAACCCCCCCCCAAAAAAATAAAAAATAAAAATAAAAATCTCTGTGGTCTGGCTGCAGATATTGCTTGTCTGCGCATTCCTCACGGCCGCCTTATGCAGTGTAGGACTTCCTTGCCCTTGCCCTTGCCCTTGCGCTTGATGCGGATTTACCCCTCCTAGAGGGAGAGGATTGTAACTATACCATATTTTTACCTCACATCACCTACCCCGGACAAACAAGAGCTCATTTGCACACCAAGGGGAACTACCGTCTTCACCTGAATAGAACGGCCAGTCATTATGCGCCGCATCTGGACTGAAAAATGCCCCAAATACGGTTATAATGACCGGGCGTTATATTCGGGTGAAGAAGGTAGGGTCAAGGCTAGGGTATAAGGCTTGCCTTAAACCACCAGTACTTGGCCCAGCTATCCGCCGCGGAAAAAAAATAGAGTAGAAACGTTTCTAGTTGGATGAATTTGGGCGCTCCTGTAGTGGCCCGTACGTTTCCTAAAATCGTGGCGGCGCGTTAACGGACTTTAGCAACTACTGCAGTGGTTTAAATTTGCAAACCGGGCCAGGATAATAATATACATCAAAATTGATAAAATAAAACAACTCTTTAGAATCATCTGCACCATTTAAATACATCATTCTACCTATTAATTGATTGGCAATTTCCTCATCTACTCTTTGTTTCTAAAAATAGAAGTCTTTCTCTATATAAACGATCGAGTAGGATCAAAACTTTATCAAGCTATCCTGAGGTTATGGGTCTACGCCTGCCTATCTCTGCTATCCCTTGCTTGTCCGGGCTAGGTAGTGCGAGGTACAATGCTGAGAGAAGATGATAGCACAGTAAAAAAAAAAAAAAAAAAAAAAAAAAAGCAGCTGCAGTGGCTGTCCACTTTATGAGTGGAGAAGACAAGCCTGCATTTTTCTAACAAAAAACAAACAAACAACCAACCAAGGATGGTAAGCTGGTAGCTATACCAGGAAAGCGGGCAGTGGCACCATAGTGGGACTGTGGGACTGTGGGACTGTGGGACCATGGTGGGACTGTGGGACAGTAGGGGGCTTTACAAATGAGGTCCTACAAGTAGCAATGAGGGACAGCCAACTTGAACTAGGCTATGCTCAGGCAGGTGGTGGGTTGCGTGCTCCATCCCACATCTTTGTCTGCATTGTGGGACTGTGGGACCGTGGCGCCATAGTGAGACTGTGGGACAGTGGGACCATGGTGGGACTGTGGGACAGTGGCACCACGGTGCATGCCTTGATTGCTGATGGGCCTGGCCATTACATGACCATGGTCCATGGTCCAGATCACTGGGAGCTCTGCGGGACAGCGGCACCATGGGCCAGGCCTTGATTGATGTTTGCGATCTCTTGGTGAAATGATGCTGCCTCCTTGCCACAAAAAGCCGTTCGTGCACTCTTTTATGTCGAAGATCACTTCGTTGCACTTTTCGCGCAGCAGGGCAGTGTGGCAACACCCTGCTGTCTATCCGCAGGTACAGACACTGTTACAGTCGGCTGTAGGCGTCATTGTGTCTGCCATAAGCACTACAATGCCATGGTGTCTGCATGCATGTGAGGAGAGGGGGCTGCCCCCCTAGTTTCCTGACTGCAGGCGCCCTCCACATCCAGACATCATGTGTCCATTTTGCGGCCGTGAATGTTATACTCAATGCATGGTCTTCTGTGATGCCTGTCCTTCTTCCATGGTCCTCCCCCCCCCCCCTCTCTTCTTTCATGCTGGCCTGCAACCGATATCTCATTTATTTGTCTGGACTGTTTGTTGGGCATGCTATGCTCAGCTGCCGTTTTCACCTGCATAGAATGCCCGGTCATTATAGCCATGCATTTGGAGGAATTACCAGTCCACATGCAGTGATAATGACCGGTCGTTCTATTCGGGTGAAGATGGGAGCTCTTCCATGTTATCGTCAGCCGCCTACTTACAAAGATCAGATGTAGTTGGTCAGATGATGCACTCATGCTTATGCCATCTGGCAAATAGGTGATTGATTGCCTGGCTGCCGTTGATGCCTGCTGCTTTCTACTAGCACCTCTGGATTTTGAATTTTCTTCCTGTTCTGCTTTTTTTTCTTTTTTCTTCTTCTTCTTTTTTTTGGTGTAATCTCCTTTCTATTTTTATTGGTGGGGAATGAATTCTGCCTGTCCTTGTATTTTGTCAAATTAGGGTACTCCGCTGCAAAATTTGGGTAGTCAGTCTGGAGAATTCGGGTAGTTTTTGAACTTTTTTTTAGCAGATCTCGGAGCTGGCGGTCCTTGTCCTACATCTTCTCTCGCTACTTCTTTCTGGCGATGAAGAAGGTAGGCAGGCCATCGGGCACCCCTCCTGCACCCTTCCCCCCCCCCCCCCCAAAAAACAAAAGACCCCCTCAAAACACCCAACAGCTGCTTGCTTCCATCCCTCTCCTTCTGTACCCCTTCACCAAAAAATCCACCCATGTTCCATGGCGCGACAACGGCTGTGTGGAAATTGTCTTTGATTTTTGTTTGTTTATGACATCACGACGATCGTTTTATATTTAATCGTTTGTCATTTTGTAACTGCCTTTGCCTACCGTTTCTCTATGTCTGCTTAAAATAATAATAATAATAATAAATAATAATAATAATAATAATAATAATAATAATATAATAAAAAACAAAAAACAAAATCGAAAAGAAAAAGAGAAAAACAATGGCTGCTGAGTGAGTGTGTTTTGTTCCAACTTTGTCGTTTGTGGCAGGCTGTTGCAGTCACTGAGGGAAGCCTTTTGAATAACCCACCCACCCTCATAGCAACGCCGTCCGTCCTTTTCTCCCCTCGTCCCTCTCCACCTGCGCTGCCAAGAGGCCTACTGGTGTTGCGTTTCCTTCTCCTTTGGCACCGTGTTAGTGGTCCCCACCTTGGTCCTGGTCCCACTTACGTTGTGCCATCTTCCCATTGCACCCTTGTCCCCTTGTCCCCTTGTCCCCTTCCCCTTTCTCGCGTGATACTCTTCGGTTCTCCCACTGTGTCCCACCCTTTTGGTAGTCGTGATGGAGGGAGGGGAGGTGGGTCGTATTGAACTCTCCAGCCAGCCGTTTGATCTCGACTTCCATCCATCGAGCAATCTTTTGGTTACTGGTCTGATTAATGGCAGGCTGGTGCTTTACGGATATGGCGGTGACGGTGGCGGCGGTGGGGGTGGTGAAGCTGAACCCAGAAGGCAATGGGTTGTTAGCGGTCATACAGAGTCGTGCAGGTGTGTGAAGTTCTCAGACGGCGGAAGAGTGGTCGTCTCAGGGTCCCCGGACAAATCGATTTTGCTCACCGATGCTGCCACGGGTCGGATCGTTTCCAGGCGAAGCGATGCGCATTTGGCGGCCATCAATCGGCTCATGGTTTTGCCAGATGCGCGAGTCGCAACGGGTGATGACGATGGTGCAGTGAAGATCTGGGACATGCGGCAGAATAACTGCTGCCACACATTTGCGGTTCACGAAGACTTCATTTCGGATATGACACCGGGGCCTAGCAACAATCAGCTGATCGTTACGAGCGGGGACGGTTCTCTCTCTGTGTGTAACGTCAGACAGAACAGAGTGGATGGTCGGTCGGAGATGGTGGAAGATGAACTGCTCTCCGTCGCCGTTCTCAAGCATGGACGGAAAGTCGTCTGCGGAACGCAGGATGGTCTTCTGCTCATCTATGCGTGGGGGACGTGGAGCGAGTTCAGCGATCGATTCCCTGGTCACCCCTCGTCCGTAGATGCATTAGTGAAGGTCGACGAGGACACTATTTTGACGGGATCTAGCGATGGTTTGATAAGAGTTGTCTCCATTGTGCCTAACAAGATGTTAGGTGTAATCGGCGAACACTCCGACTACCCCATCGAAAGGTTGGGGTACTCCTTCGACAAGCGTTTTATCGCGAGTGCATCACATGACCGAAGCGTTAAGCTTTGGGATGTTGCTTACCTTCTCGAAGGCGATGACGAAGGCGACGGTGCTGCTGCTAACAATGGAAATGATGTGGACATGGAGCAACCAGGTCATGACATGGACAGTGATGATGATGGAAACCAAGGGGGAGGGGGAGGGGGAGGGGGAGGGAGAACGGGAGGGGGAGTGGGAGCAAGCGGCAGAAGGCCAGGCAGGCAAAGGGGAGGAGGAAGGGATCAACAACAAGATAACAGTTTCTTCGCTGACCTCTGATCATCAGATAGCGATGCAAAATGTCTTGTTTAAAGATTTTTTTTTTGTGGGCGCTTGCAATTGATCGGCCAATCTTTCGAGTTTCTTTATCTCCCAGCCAACAAACTCGTGTTTTGCTGTCACACCATGTCTTTTTCTCGATTTATGCGTGTCATCCTTGTGCAGGGGCCATGCTAATCTTCACTCTCTGTATCGTTCCACTTTTAACGGATGTCGCACCCTGTGATTTCATTCATTTGCCCTCTTTTTTTTTTTTTTTTTTTTTTTTTAACCAGTCTCCTTGCTAGGAGAGGTGATACGAGCACCCCCTCCTAGTAAGAAGTCCTGGGTGCTGAGAGACAGGCCTTATGTGGAAGAAGAACAGGAATGAACACTTTTTTTTTTTTTTTTTTTTTTTTTTTTTTCGGTCCCTGTTTTGCTGTCTAGCACCCAGTGGACTCCCATTCCCCTCTCCATGTCTTTGTGGAACGAACTATGGTCCCGCGTATTGCTTACGGAACAAACTATGGTCCCGCGTATTGCTTACGGAACAAACTATGGGCCAGAACATTGTTTATGGAACGAACTATGTCCAGAGCATTGTTTATGGAACGAGCTATGGTCCACGGAATTGCCTGCAGGCTGCAGGTTGAACCAGACAGATGTGCCTGTCGTATGGGTTGTTGCCGCACTTGTCCTGCATCACAGCAACGAAGCGCAGACTTCGTATGCGCAGAAGTTTTTGCAACGCAGGCGTTGCAAGTGCTAAGCTCTTACACTTGAGAGAGTTCATCTAGATTTATTTGCCTTGGTCAGACCAACCGCCCTCTGCCTGAAGTTGCTTCTCCATCTCTACCCGCGTTTGGATGCTGAGAAGCTCTGTTTTTTTTTGTTTTTTTTTTTCCCTTGAAAGGCAGAAGGGCCCAGTGCCCAAGGCAAAAATACCAACGTCAAGGAGCTGCAAACTTGCTTCCTTTTTGTTTCCTTTTATTAGGGCCCTGTGCCCAAGGCAAAAATACAATGTCAAGGAGCTGCAAATTCAGGGGTCGCAAGGCCTCTAAACACACACAACTCGCACCCAACAAAGAGCGCCTAATGACGGCACTGTCCGCGGTGAGAATGAATTCTTGGACGGAGATGACATCTGATTCTCTCTCCAGTTAGCAGCCAAACGCCGGCACCGGTCGCCCGTCACGATCCGACTTACGGGAAGCCGATCCGCGGGCAGAGCATTTGTCATGCTCCGGCAAGTCTTCTCCCGTGGCCAATCGGTGAGAAACTCACGTGCAGCGAAGCAACAACCGCAGCAGATACGTATGTAATCAACGGCACGGTCCATAGAGTTCCGTATCTGAAGACGAAACGTGCGACACCGCGAACACGTGTCGGTCTTGGTTACAATTAGCGTGTATGGGGGGGGCAGTGGCACTCCCAATAGCAGCCAGCCAGTGATATCTGCAACGCGCTGCAAGCCTACTGGTGTACAGCATAACCCTTGTGGTCAAGTTGTGCCAGTCGCGTCTGTGTTCTCAACGCAAGAACACAGCTTATGTGAGCCGCTGGAAGCACCGGGCATGGCGACCTCGGCTATGGCTTCCAGCGCCAGCAAATTTGGGCCGCAAAGCTGCATCGCCTAGCAGCGTGCCGCCGCCGCCGTCGCGCCGCTCTGCTTTTTTTTTTTTTTTTTTTTTTTTTTTGGCGCAGGGGCCATGCTAATCTTCTCTCTATCCTTCCAATTTTAACGGATGTCCTGACAAGCTCTGTTTCCCCCCCCTCCCTTTTTCTGGCAGCAGATTCCTGAGACAGTGTGGGATTGTTCAGTCATTCATCGGTATCTGATCAGTTATCTATCTGATTGTTTGGAAGAAAGAAATAAAATTAAAAGGTTATCGGCCTAACAGGTGAGAGGCTGAAGCTCCATCACCCAGGGAGTATAAGATGACAGCTGTTGCAGTCAAAGAAGAGTATCTACTCCTCAGAATGCCTTCCCCTGTCTGATTGTGTACTGTGTTTGATCGCCGACGATCAGTGGAAGCAGGAAACGCACGATGGGGCTGGATGGGGGGACAATTATCTCACGGAGTGATGTCGTTCGCGGGTCCTCGTGGCGAGTGGCCTCAGCCGATGGATCTTGTCGATCGACGCGTGGAGGACAGATCGGTGCCAGTTTCGTGGCATCTAAGGAGGGTGTGCCTGCCACAGAGAATGCTCACGCACGATGGGCGACCTGTGCTCTGACTGGCGAAGTCCTTCAGGAACCCGTCGTCTGCTGCAGACTGGGGAAACTGTACACGAGAGAGAACGTGCTAGCGTTTCTGCTTGCGAAGAAAGGGAAGGTCTTTCTGGACGAAGCAGCGAAGTGGCGGTTTCAGAACCAATCTCAGTTTTCGAAGGACTTCGCGCACTTGCGGACCACTAAGGACGTCTTTGTGCTGCGAACCGAGTCATCAAGTTCTCAGCCACCGGCAGCGGCCAGTGCTATTGCCGATCGTACCCATGCGGAAGTCCGTACGAGGGAAAAGGATACGGACGACAACAAAAAGCAGCGCAGAAAAGACGACTGTCACAACTCTACCTGCAGCAGTACGGCTGACGGTTCTGCAGATTACTGCTCTGCAGAGCGCGGCCGCGATTGCGGGAATGCGGCGTCCAGCTCCGAACAGCACAGGAACCGGATCGAATGGGTTTGCCCTCTTACGGGTGCAATAGCGGGCTCACGCCAGCAGGCCTTTTCGGCAATTCAAGTATGCGGCCATTTGTTCAGTGCGAAGGCTCTGAGAGAGGTCGGAAATGGCCGATGTCCCACTTGCGATGCGGCATACGACAGTGACCAGGTCATTTTAATAAATGGTTCGAGTGAGCACATGGAGAGTCTTCAGAAGCGATTGAGAGAGGAGGAGAAAGCGAGGAGGGCTGTCAAACGGTCGAAGACGGAAGTAGTTGGCCACACCCTGGCCTAATAGATAGTAATAGTGAAACTTAGGGCAACACATACACTCTTGTTGTGTTCTCGAACTCTCATCCTCGCCACCGTCTTCAAACTGTGGCTAATTGCTAGCGGTAGTACTGTAATACTCTGACGGAGTCCGACCACGATTGCAGTCAGCTAACTGCAGTTAGCTGAAAAGAAACAGACGAGTGTGTGTCCTTCCTTGACTCAGGTAACTGCAGTTAGCTGAAAAGAAACAGACAAGTGTGTGTCCTTCCTTGACTCAGGTAACTGCAGTCAGGTTACTGCAGTCAGGTAACTGCAGTCAGGTAACTGCAGTAAGCTGAAAAGAAACAGACGAGTGTGTGTCCTTCCTTGGCAACTGGTCAAAGACAGGAGGTTGCACCGGGGATGACGAAACTTAGGGCAAGTACAAACTCCAGTTTTTCTTCTTCGT